AACATAAATATGCTAAGCATAGGAACTAGTTGTCACACTCCACTTTCATCCCAAACGATCTTACCGCGTTCCCCCTACTAATCTCATATCTCCCCTTAGTGAGCGTCTCATAGATTCCACGAAGGAACCGGAAAAAGATCGAATTTTTGGCTTACTCGACATCTTGACTTCGCATCCCCTTTCCTTAGGCTATAACCCATGATTCCCTCCACCGATGAATGACTCAACCCCTAGGTCAAAAGGTCTTCCCAATGGTTGTAACGTAAGGCAAAAAGGGTTAAGATAGGCTAAATTTAAAATTTGGTGGTTAACCTAGATTGTGAAGCAAAGATTGGCCAAATCTTAACACCAAAATCGAGTAATCACCAAACAAAAACATATTAACACCCCCAAGCTTATTCAAAGCAACAATCTACAATCATAAGAACAAAAAGCGCAAACGCTTTCCCCCCAAGCTAAAAGGAGCATTGTCCTCAATGCATAAAAGGGAGAAAGACACTTGAATTTTTATGTTTTTTTTTTTGAAATTTTTCTCTTACTTTATCAAAGCATTAGTCCTTGCCTTTTTATTTGGGACGGCTTTTACCTAATCATTTGCCATTAATTTCCAAATATAAACAACTCAACCTTGTTCACCAATTCGAACCAAAATCCAAACTTATACACCACAATCTTCCAACATTGACCATTGCTTCACAAAAACCAAGAGAAAAGGAAAATGAAACAAAAGGCTCAAGAATTCTAAATATGTGGCTTGAAAAGATTGGAAAAAAGTTCAAAGGGCTAGCAAGTAGGCAAATGTATCCCAAACCCAAAAGTAAAAATAAGGAAACTATCCTAGAAAAAAGGAAAAATACCTCCCCGAAAAGATGCCTTTGTCCTCCCTAGGTGGTTCGGTCTCGGTCTTAGGAATCATACGTTAAGATTCTAGATTAGGTCCGCAATATTCAAGGATCCATGCCGCTCATGCAAGTAAATGTTGAAGGCTTGAAAAATAATGAACCTCACACGGATGTAGCCAAAAACTCAATATGGGTGTCAAATCGATTATAGGGAGCAACTACCAATCATGCCACAAACAAGTAGAATCCGGCTTCATGATCCCCTAGTTCTAGACAACTACCTTAGCATGCTTTATCCTAGAAACAACCAAACGTAATCTCAAACCGTGCATACCATGACCACCTAGTAAGGTTATTATCCAAAAGAAAGAGTCCATTGTTTACAAATCCAAGTCAAAGAAGAATGAAAGAGTGAAAAATAAAGCCTCAAAAAGCTATGTACAAAACCAAGAACAAAAAGAAGAGAAAAGAAAAGAAAAGAAAAGAAAATATGGAAAACCAAGATAAAGGAAAAGTAGGAGAACAAAGAAAAGGACAAAGATGCAATCATAACACGTATTTCCCAATCGACAAACAAGCGGTCAAATGGCCACATCGCCAAAGACCCCAAACACACTAGGTGTTATAATCATACATCCTCGAACCATTCAACTCTCCTAAAACTAATCCTAATCTAGGCAACCAAGAAAAGTAAAGGAAGAAAGGTAAAGAGATAAAACAAGAAAGGTCTCACCAAGCCTCCAAGCTATGCTGCAATAATAAAGGAGCAAGAACGACCTCCTCTAAGAAGCTTCAAAGACCAAAGCAGTGGCTATGAACAAGGTGAGAAAAAGAAAAGAAAAGGACTATATACAAAATGAAATTTTTAGTAACTTCCAAACAAAAGCAAACAAAAGTAAATTTACGCGAAAACTATGTACAAAGAACCAGAGAAACCATCATCATCAATAGAAGGGACCACAAAACATCATCATCAAAAACCAAGACAACAAGATAAACAACATACCAACGAGACTACCAAGAGAGAAGCAAAAGAAATCCATCAAAGCCCTTTCAAACACATCCCCAAGAGTCCAAGGTGCCTCCCCAAAAACTACCCTAAAACATCCTATTTGATTCCCCCCGTACAAAATAAGGGCATCGACCGCGATGCCTAAAAACATGCAAAGCTAAAAGGGGGGAAACAAAAAGGGAATCAAACAACCAAGGGGGAAACTATTGGCCACTAGGGCCGGCACCACCATCATCCAAATCCCAACCTCCGGTATAACCGGGAGGGAACCCATAGCAACCCTTGAAAAGGTCAAGTTGAGATGTGGATAATTGGTCAAAAGGCTCTGGTTGCATACAGAGCTCAGGGTGAGTGGGGTGAACATAGTAGTAGTCTGGGTCACCCCGATAATCACTCCTCCCCGAGACCCGGTAGTCATAATGATCGGACTCATCTGGGAAGTAACGCCTTGGCTCATCGGGGTTCGCAACCCCGGGCCAATATGGGTACGTGGGGAGGTTTTCACCACCCCTAGATGGCACCGGCCCTTGTTGGGGCGGCACATAAGGGTAGTTCACCGGAGGAGTGACCTCCCCCCTACGCACACTAGCGTCATATAGGGCGCTAGTTTGAAAAGACAAAGTTTGATGGTTCGAATACATACCTTGCATGCTAAATTGCATGCGCTCCATATGCTCACGCATAGCCTCCATCTCACGGAGATATGCATCTCCTCGGTTGTCTTGTTGGTGATGTTGTTGTCTTCTTCTTCCTCTTTGTTGCGGTTGTTGTTGTTGTTGCTCTTCTTCATCTTCTTCATCTTCACCACCTTCTCCTTCTCCACCTTCACCATCATGCCCATCATCATCATCATCATCGTCCTCATCAACATCATCCTCCTCCATAACATTCTCAACCCTCCCGTCATCCTCGGGAATCCTCCAAACAATCCTAGCCTCTCGAGTGATTGAGGTGGCAGCTGGGTTTGGGAGCATACAATGGTGCACATTTTGCACTAGCCAAGAGTACCCACCGTTTCCCTTAGTCTTAGAAATGAAGCGCAACGTGTTAAGTTGCTTTATATCCAAATACGTGTCTTCACTCTTTCCTATCGGAGTGCAAGACCTCAAGAAACGCTCTTGCTTGAAATAATACACCAATCTAGTAATCATACCACCACAATGAATCTCACCCGTTTCTTCCCAGTGGCGATCAACTTACAACAATTCAAGAAAAGATACCCAAAATTCAACCTTGGCCCCAAATCCGACCTTGTAGCCATCCAAAGCACCAAGATCTCCTCCCTCGAAAGCTTCCCAAGATCTTGCTTACTAAACACTGTATACCCAAGAATCTGATGGAGAATACGAAGAGCCGGGTGAATGATCTCGCTAGCAAGCGATTCCTTAGAGTCAAACGACTTCTTCCTAGATATGGCTCTCCACCAAGCAACCTCATTGTATTCGGTCTTGTGAAGGGCAACAAAGGGCTCAAGGATGTCGGTATTGGGGTTGAAACCAAGGGCTTTGTTGAATTCCGCAAGGTTCATGGTATGCTTGGAATTGAAAAGTTGAAAAGAGATGATATAGTCGGTATCCCCCGTCATATTAAACTCAAAGGTGGAGAAAAATTCAATGCATGGTTCCAAATAAGTTCGGGGGGATGACTTTACAAACTCATCCAAACCAAGATTACGAAGCAAAATGTTAAGATCGGCATCAATACCCAATTTTTCCATATCCTCGGCAAAATAGTTGCGGGACGGTCTAAATTTCCGGGATTTCATTTTATTATAGATAGGGGTGTGCTTAGCCTGGTTATGAAATTTGAGAGCGGGTAAAGGAGGAGGTGGGGCATTATCTTGAGTAGTTTGGTTTTGAGAGGGTTCGGTGTTTGAAGGTTGACCACGAGAGGATTGGCCGGGGGATTAGTTTGAACTTCTCTTGCTATTCTTAGCTCTCCTCAACAAATCCATAGTTTCAAGCTCAACCAATACAATGAATCACAAAGAACACCCAAATTCAACACCACAAACCTCCGTTCACAAGACCACCCAAAACCACCACAACCTACAAAGTACCTGTTACAAGCAACAAACAACCAAAAATCAACAACAACCAACAATATTAACAATCTATCACAAAAAAGAAGCACAAAAACATCCAAAATAATTCCAAAACTACCATACAAACAACCAAAAACATCATACTCAAGCTTAATCAAGGCCACTCACAACCAATGCATAAAAATCAATTGAAATTGACAAAAATAAAACAAAGGTGTGAAGTATACCAAGATTGAAGACTCAAATTAAGCACAAAACCGAGTAGACTCGAAATTCCCGAAGAAAACCACGAGAAAGAAGAGCAAACTTGATGAAAATGGAGTATGAATGAAGTTTGGATGGAAATTTAAGAGAAAACAAGGGTGAATTTGAGTAAAATTGTGTGAAAGAGATGATTTGGGGGTTAGGGTTTGAGAGGTGGAAGAGAGAGAATGGGGAAATTAAGAGTGAAAGGGAAAATAAGAGAGGAGAGAGAAAGAGAGAGGAACCGGGCAAATTAAAACCCAGATCCCCGCGCCCTCTCTCGACAAAGCCGTGCCCGCTCCAAAACTTCCGCGCCCGCAGAGAGACTGCGGGGAAACCGCGGAGAGTTTCTGGAAAATCCGAAGAACTCATACCTGACAAAGGGTCGCGCCCTCTCTAATTCTCTCGCGCTCGCTCCAATACTGTCGCGCCCGCGGAGAGACCGCGGAGAGTTCCTGATCCAAATTTGAGAAAATGAGCCGCGCCCTCTCTGAATTTACCCCGCGCTCTCTCTATTGCACCCGCGCCCACGGAGAGCCCGCGGGGCAACCGCGGAGACCTACTGATCCGATTTCCACTATTAAAAGCAAGGGCACCCGAGGCCTCTCCAAGCCCGTGGGGCGCCCTCTCCCCTGCACTCTAAAACCTCTTATCACCCTCAACAAACACATTTAGTCCATATATGATGAATAAAGCCACCCTACAAAACAAGCCAAAAACAAAAGGAAGGGTAAGAGCAAAAATCAACAAAAAACCAAAAATAAAAGAAAGAAAGGAAAAGAGAGTAAAGGTGAGAATCCGGGTTGCCTCCCGTAAGCGCTTTTGTTTAAAGTCGTTAGCTCGACGTTTACCACCCCACTCAAGGTGGTTTGAAAAGAATCATTTTATGAATAAGACCAACAAACACTCCATCAAAATATTTCTTAAGCCGATGACCGTTAACCTTGAAAGAAGATGAGGAATCCAAAGGAGAAATCTCCACGGTGCCATTATCAAAAACATCTTTCACCAAGAAAGGACCACTCCATTTTGACATGAGCTTTCCGGGAAATAACTTCATTCTCGAGTGGTAGAGGAGGACTTTATCACCCACACAAAACTCCTTCTTCTCAATAAGCTTATCATGAGCTTCTTTGGAACAAGCTTTGTAGGTTCTAGCACAGTCATAAACATCAAGTCTAAGCTCCTCTAGCTCATGAAGATCCAACCACCTTTTCTCCCCCGCACTTTCTAAATCAAAGTTTATCTTTTTGATTGCCCATAAAGCACGGTGTTCAAGCTCCACCGGGAGATGGCAAGACTTGCCATAGACAAGGCGATATGGAGTGGTACTAATAGGCGTCTTGAAAGCCGTCCTATAAGCCCAAAGAGCATCATCTAACTTATCCGACCAATCCTTTATATTCCTTGCAACCGTCTTCTCAAGAATGAGCTTTATTTGACGATTGGAGACCTTGACTTGGCCACTCGATTGAAGATGATATGGAAGGCCGAACCGTTGATGCACTCCATGTTTCCTCAACATCTTTTGGAAAGCGTTGTGAACAAAATGAGATATGTTATCGCTTATCACAGCCTTAGGTACGCCAAACCTTGGGAAGATGATTTGTTGAACAACTTCAACAGTACTTTGTGGTCATTAGTAGGGGAGGCAATGGCCTCAACCCATTTAGAAACATAGTCCACAGCCATAAGTATGAATTAATTACCATATGAAGATGGGAACGGTCCCATGAAGTCAATCCCCCAAACATCTAACACCTCTAACTCAAGAATGGGCTGTTGAGGCATCTCATTCCTCTTGGAGATATTTCCAACCCTTTGACATCGGTCGCATGACTTTACAAGGCCTCATGAATCTTTGAAGAGATGCGGCCACCACAAACCACATTGAAGAACCTTAGTGGCGGTTTTTAAAACGCCCATATGACCGCCACTTGGATCCGAATGACACATCCTTAGAACACTTGACACCTATTCATTTGGGACACAACGCCGAAGCAAGCCATCCACCCCGCGTTTATACAAGATTGGTTCATCCCACAAGTAATGTCTTGCCTCCCTCTTGAGCTTCTTCTTTTGGTTCTTGGAGAAAGAAGGTGGAAACTCCCCACATGCTAGAAAGTTCACCAAGTCGGCATACCATGGGAGATCCTTAACCTTAATGGCATACAAGACATCATCAATCATTCTATCTTCAATTGGTAGACCATCATCATGAATTTGATCAGCCTCAAGGCGAGAAAGATGGTCGGCCACAACATTTTCCGCACCCTTCTTATCCCTAATCTCTATTTCAAAAGTTTGTAATTCAAGCACCCAACGAATCAACCTTGGCTTGGACTCTTTCTTGGCAAAGAGATACTTGAGAGCCGCATGATCCGTGAAGACAATGTTCTTGGAACCCAATAAATAACACCGGAATTTCTCGAAAGAGTGAACAATGGCCAAGAACTCTTTTTCTGTTGTGTAATTCTGTTGGACCCCATTTAGTGTCTTGGACATATAGTAAATCACATAAAGCTTCTTGTCCACACGTTGTCCCAAAACACCTCCAATTGCCCAATCACTAGCATCACACATCAACTCAAAGGGTAGATCCCATCTTGGGGCTTGAACAATGGGGGTAGAGATTAGGGCCTTCTTCAATCTATTAAATGCTTCCAAGCATTTATCATAAAAAATGAACTCAACGTCTTTTTGAAGAAGATCATTAAGGGGCTTGGCAATGAGTGAGAAATCCTTGATGAATCTTCTATAGAAACCCGCATGACCCAAAAATGATCTCACTCCCTTGACATTCACCGGAGGTGGAAGCTTCTCAATAACCTTAATTTTTGCCTTATCCACCTCTATTCCTTTATGAGAGATCTTATGCCCAAGCACTATCCCTTCCTCCACCATGAAATGGCATTTCTCCCAATTCAAGACAAGATTAACCTTTACACACCGAGCCAAACATTTCTCAAGATTAACTAGGCACTCTTCAAATGAAACCCCACCTACGGAGAAATCATCCATTAACACCTCCATTTCTTCCTCCAACAAGTCTCCAAAAATGCTCATCATGCATCTTTGGAAAGTTGTGGGGGCATTACAAAGGCCAAAGGGCATTCTCCTATAGGCAAAGGTCCCATAGGGGCATGTAAATGTTGTCTTCTCTTGATCTTCGAGGTGGATTGGAATTTGGAAAAATCTCGAATAGCCATCAAGGAAGCAATAGAACTTGTGCCTTGTTAGTCTCTCTAACATTTTATCAATGAATGTAAGGGGAAAGTGATCCTTTTTGGTGGATGTATTTAGACGTCTATAGTCTATACACATCCTCCAACCGGTGACCGTCCTAGTTGGAGTGAGCTCACCACTCTCATTCTTGACTACGGTCATACCCCCCTTCTTAGGAACGACATGAACGGGAGAAACCCACCTAGAGCTTGAGATGGGGAATATGATTCCCGCATCCAAGAGCTTGGTGATCTCTTTTTTCACCACCTCTCCCATTTGAGGGTGTAGCTTTCTTTGTCGTTCAATAGAAGGAAGGGTGCCTTCCTCAAGCGTTATGTGGTGCGTACACAAAGCGGGGCTTATACCTTTAAGATCATCGATAGTATAGCCCAAAGCGCCTTGGTTCTTTCTCAAGACACAACATAACGCTTGAGCTTGGCTCTCGCTCAAGGATGCACTAACAATTACGGGGTAAGTGGAATTTGGGCTTAAGAATTCATACCTAAGGTGTGATGGTAGAGTTTGAGCTCTACCATAGGCACACCTTTACCTTCTTTTGTTGCGGCCGCTTGCAAAGCTTCATGGCTTGAGATCTTCAAGCACAATTGTTCATCCACTTCCTCCATGCTTCCATTAAGCAATTCCTCATACAATGCTACCTCCTTGCATGGTACACCTAGCTTGTCTTTGTTCAACAAAACATTCTCAAGAGCATCGTTAGAGGTGAGCAAGTGCTCATGCATGGAAGACACAACATGATCAAGAGAGTCAATCATCATGCAATTTTCAAGAGAAGAACTTGGATATTTCATGCTTTCATTCAAATCCAATTCTATGACCTCATCTCCTACCTTAAGGGAAATCTTTGCACACTTTACATCTATCATAGCACCCGAGGTAGCAAGAAAGGGTCTACCTAGAATAATTGGAATGGTAGCATCTTCATCCATTTCTAAGACAACAAAATCCACCGGGAACACAAACTTCCCAATTAACCCTCAATGGAACATCTTCCACTTTACCTTTTGAAAACTTGATTGACCTATCGACTAGTTGCAAGGTAATATTAGAAGGTAAGAGTTCCCCTAGATCAAGTCTTTGATAAACCGAATATGGCATTAAGCTTACACTAGCTCCTAAGTTACATAAGGCATTATCAAATTGCATCTTGTTAATAACACAAGGGATGGAAAAGTTTTCGGGGTCTTTCAACTTAAGTGGCATTTTGTTCATGATGATTGCACTACAATTTTCAGTCAAATTGATTGTCTCCACAACATCACAAGTCCTCTTTCCGCTCAAAATGTCTTTGAGGAATTTGGCATAATTAGGCATTTGGTTGATCACATCGGTGAAAGGTAGAGAAAGGTGAAGTTGTTTGAGCATATCAATAAATCTCCCAAATTGCTCATCCAACTTGTGTCTCATGAATTTTTGGGGATAAGGGAGCTTTGGTTTCACAATCTCTTTCTCTACTCTCACCTCTCTTGGTGTCTCAACCACAACCTCATCTAAAGATGCTCTACTTCCCTCATTCTCAACCAAAACTTCTTTGGGGACCTCCTTGTTATATCATTCCTCCTAAACAATCTCTCCTCAAGAACCTTACCACTCCTTGTAACAATAGCATTCACGGGTTTCTTGGGATCTAGGCCTTGGGAAGGTAAAGAAGAAGGGCTTGCTTGGTCTTTCAAAGCACTAGCAAGTTGAGAAATTTGGTTTTCGAGCATTTTGTTGTGGGTCATCATTTCATTAAATTTCTTGTCACTAACGGCCATATATGTGTTCAACAACTTGGTTTTATTTTCAATTATTTCCTCCAAATTGGTCCTAGAAGAATAAGATTGTGAATAGGAATTTTCACTTTGAGTCTTTGGAACAAATCCGGGTGGGGGACCTCTTTGAGAATTATTTTGAAAATTTCCCCTACCTTGATTGTTCCAATTACCCCTATTTTGATTTTGACCATAACCTTGATTATGGTTTCCACTACCTTGGTTATGATTTCCATAACTTTGGTTTTGATTACCATAATTTTGGTTTTGATTTTGACTACTATAACCTTGATTGTTATAGTTGCCACGAGAACTTTGGTTCCCTTGGTTCCTATAACCACCACCTTGGTTATAGTTGTCAAAATTACCTTGGTTTTTGGTAATTCCTATTCCATTGACCTCTTTCATTATCAAACCTTTGCACATTATTATTTGACACATAATTCACATGCTCACTCTCACTATTATCAAAATCATCACCACATTCCGGAGAAGCATGAGGGCAATTACAAGAGTCATGATCATAAGATCCACATGCATCACAAAACAAGCAACCACTAGGCATATTATTTGAAGAGGGGGGGGGGGGTTTTGAGAGTTAGAAAAGGTACCTCTCCCCTTAAATTGGGAGGGAGAATTCGAAGCTTGAGAAGAAAAGGAACCCTTCAACTTGGCCTTGATTGCGGTCATTTCTTTCCCCAAGTTTGTCATTTGTGAGGATAAGTTATTGATCGCATTTAGATGGTCTATAGAGTACACCGAAGAGCCACTCTTGCTAGTTGAATCCCTCTCACCATCTTGCCAATCTCTATAGTACTTAACCACGTCCTCTACAATGTCCACCACTTCCTCTTCCATCCAATTCATTATGGGACCTCCGGCACCCCCATCAAGGCATGATTTTCCTTGAGGACTTAGGTCACCATAGAAAATTTGAATGACTTGATAAGTTGGAATTCCGTGGTGGGGACATTCCCTTTGATACTCTTTATACCTCTCCCATGCTTCGTAGAGGCTTTCATTAGGTCTTTGCTTGAACCCTTGAATCAAAACTCTAGCCTCCGCCGTTTTCTTTTGTGGGTAGAATCGGGACAAGAATTCCTTGGTGACTTCATCCCATGTTCGAAGGGAATTTGGCTTTACCTCCTTATCCAACCACTCCAAGGCTCGGCCTATGAGAGAAAATGGAAACAACTTTACCCGGATGAATTCTTGAGAAACTCCGTTCACTTTGATAGTGTTGCAATACTTTTCGAACTCCTTGAGATGGTTCAACGGACTCTCATTCTTAGCTCCGCTATATTGTCTCCTTTCGATCAAAGCGATCATAGCCGGCCTAATTTCGAAGTCATTCGCCGGTGTTGTAGGTGGAGCAATTCCACTCTCAAACTTGTACGCACCGGGAATTCCCAATTCTTTCAAAGCAACTCTTGGTTGATCTCCCATGCCTAGTTCCTCTTCAAATCCTTCTTCGCTTGAAGAACTAAATTCAAAGGATTTACTAGCAATTCTTCTCCATGAAAGAGTCCTTTCGATTTCCGGGTCAAAAGGCACAATGGATCGATCACGAGCTCTATGCATGCAAGACTTCAATGAAAATATTAGTAGCACGGCTACAAATGTAGCCTTAAGAAACAAAATCTTTTTGTATTTTTTTTCAATTAAAATGAAATAGACTCAACAACTAAAGCTAAGCACCAATTTCACTCCCCGGCAACGGCGCCATTTTGATAGAGGAATAAACTAGTCGTTAATTGCCTATCCCAAAATCAAACACTATTTATAAAATCC